GTTTAGGGCTCATGAGCTCGCTGTCCGCCGTGCTAGGCAGATGGCCAGTGAGGCGATGGGCGTGCGCGCCTGGCAGCTAAGGCTGAGAGCCTGGACTGACCCCTTTTGGGGTTTGCGGTTTGGGGTTTAGGGTTTGGGGTTTAGGGTTTGGGGTTTGGGGTTTAGGGTTTGGGGTTTGCGGTTTAGGGCTTAGGGTTTGGGGTTTAGGGTTTGGGGTTTAGGGTTTGGGGTTTAGGGTTTGGGGTTTAAGGTTTGGGGTTTGGGGTTTAGGGTTTAGGGTAGGGCCTAAGGCTTGAACCCCCCCAAGGCCTTAGCCCCTATCACCTAAACCCCGAGCGAAACCCTTAGACCCTCAAACTCCCGACCCCCCCCAAACGCCACGCAGAACCCTGAACAAATCCCCCACAACACCCTAAACCCCTAAGCTCGGAACCCCCAAATCTCCCTCAACCCACACCCCGTAGCATTTCGGGTGTTAGGCTCCCTTTAAGGAATCTTCCCCAAACCCTAACCCCTAAACCCTAAACCGTAAACCCTAAACCCTAAACCCTAAACCCCAAACCCTACCTAATTCCTAAACCCAAAACCCTAAACCCTAAACCCTAAGCCCTACTAAGCCCGGATTTGGGGGGATCTTCCGGTCTCCGGCCAGGCTTGTGAAGCTGGACGGGCAGTCCGGCGCTGAGAGAACTCCCAAGAGTTTAGGGTTTGGGGGTTTGGGGTTTGGGATTTAGGGGCTAGGGGTTTAGGGTTTGGGGTTTACGGTTTGGGGTTTAGGGCTTAAGGTTTGGGCTTTGGGGCTTTGGGGTTTTGGGCTTGGGGGTTAGGGTTCGGGTTTGGGATTTTGGGACTTGGTTTTTGTGTTTTTTGGGGTTTTTGAGGGCTTTGGGGGTTTTGGGGGTTTTGGGGGTGTTGGGGGTTTTGGGTTGAAGGCCTAAGGTTTACTCGCCCAACCCCAAGTCACTCAAGCCCCCGAGGGTGCCCAAGGGCGAGGTGCTGAGCTCCCTTCTGACTCCCGATGAGGCGCTGGGGCTTGGGGGTTGCAAGGGTTTAGGGTTTATGGTTTGGGGTTTAGGGTTTAGGGTTTGGGGTTTAGGGTTTAGGGTTTAGGGTTTGGGGTTCAGGGCTTGAAGGGTGTAAGATCTGGGGTTTTGGAGGTTTCGGGATTCAGGTGGTATTTTCCCTTCTCCCCCGACACCCCCCGTCCCAGAAACAAGCTGACCTAAGATGTATCATGTCATTGACAAGCTGCCATTGGGGACTATGTTGGCGGGGTTTTGATATTTCGCAAGCAGAGGGGGGTGAGGTATTGTGGTAGGTCTGGGGCTTGGGCGCCCTTAGGGGTTTCAAGGGCTTGGGCTTCAATTAGAGGTTTCACGCCATGGTCAAAGGAATTTCCGGGCCCCCGTGATTCTGAAGCCTAAACCCTAAACCCTAAACCCTAAACCCTACACCCTACACCCTAAAACCCTACACCCGAAAGAAGCCAGGACACGCTGGAGCTGACGGCCGTCACCATGCGAGCGCGCGACGTGGCGGCAGAACGCCGACCGAAAGCCTCTCAACCTCTAGAACCCTAAGCCGTAACCCTAAGCCGTAACCCTGGACCGTAACCCTAAACTGGAACCCTAAACCCTGAAACCTAAACGCAACCCTAAACCGTAACCCTAAACCCAGAAACCTCACCCGTTTCCCTGAAACCTAATCCCTAAACCGCATACAAGAAACCCTGAACCCTGAACCCTAAGCCCTCTAAACCCGAGCTCAGGCCCAGAAGTCGCGGAGAAATCCAAGGAGCTCGCGACTGCCTTGAAAACCAGGCCGGAGCTTGAGAGGTTTACGGTTTAGGGTTTAGGGTTTAGGGTTTAGGGTTTAGGGCTTAGGGTTTAGGGTTTAGGGTTTGGGGTTTGGGGTTTGGAGACTGGGCCTTCAAGATTTGGGTTGTTGAGGGTTTAGGGTTCGGGGCTCGGGGTTCGGGCTGAGGGCGTGGGGTTGTGAGGGCGAACTTCAAGCATGAGTTTTAGGGTTTAGGGTTTAGGGTTTAGGGTTTAGGGTTTAGGGTTTGGGCGAATATAGTGGTCGGAGTAAGCACTGATTATGGCACCTCTCTAAGTATACGACAATCCCCCCCCAAAGACCTTGTAAATATTGAGGCCCCTGTATCAGGGGTGTTTTTTTGGGAGTGTGATCGCAGTTCTTGTGCCAAGCAAAGATAGCAGGAACCCGCTTCCGCGGTTTAGGGTTTAGGGTTCGGGGTTTAGGGCTTAGGGATTAGGGTTTAAGATTTAGGGGTGAAGGTTCAGGGTTCAGCAGCTCATGCACTTGCTTTCACTAGTCGAGCCTCTCGTTTATATGTGACGGAGAAGCCCTGAAAAAATAGTATGCCCTGAACCCCTCCACCCTGGGCCCTGAACCCTAAGCCCTAAGACCCGAACCCTAGGCCCTGAACCCCAAACCCTAGGCCCTGGCCCCTAGACCCTAGGCCCTGAACGCCTAAACCCTGGGCCCTGCACCATTAAACCGAGGCCCTGCACCTCTAAACCCTAAGACCTGCACCCCTAAACCCCTAAACCCCTAAACCCCTAAACCCCTAAACCCCTAAACCCCTAAAAACCCCGAAACCCCTAAACCCCTAAACCCCTAAACCCCTAAACCCCTAAACCCCTAAACCCCTAAACCCCTAAACCCCTAAACCCCTAAACCCCTAAACCCCTAAACCCCCAAGCCCCTAAACCCTTAAACCCTTAAACCCCTAAACCCCTAAACCCCTAAACCCTAAACCCTAAACCCAGAAAAGACAGGCCCGGCGCATTGCCCGCCTGGAGAACCTTTCGTTGGACTCATTGGCGCCAGGAGGCTCGGTCAGGGTTTAGGGTTTAGGGGTGTGGAGTTTAGGGTTTAGGGTTTAGGGTTTAGGGTTTTGGGATTCGGGATTAGGGATTAGGGATGAGGGTTGAGGGTTTAGGGTTTCGGGTTTAGGGTTATTTAGGGTCCAGGGTTTTAGGGTTCAGGGTTCATGTGCATGGGCAGTCACGAAAGCTAGCTCCTTGGAGCTCGCGAGAGTTGTCGTTTACAAGAATTATCTCTAGTGTTCAGCTGGGTCAAGAAGCGACTCCGACCCTTAAGTGGTATGAAAATCAAAGAGATAAAGGGCTGTGGGGGGGGGGGGGGGGGCCCCCCTCCCCCCCCTTATAGGATTGACAAAATCAATCTTAAGGTGTCCCCCAGATTCGCCTTAATTGATTTCTGGGGGGGGGGGGGGCCCCCCCCCCCCTTTTGGCCCCCCCCCCCACCCCTTTTCAGGCTTCCCCCTCCGTCTTGGTCAGGCCCTGCTGTCGTGCCTGACTCGAAAAAAGCTTGCTTGTCAGCCGCGTTTCTAGCTTTCGTGGCCCCGATCTCAAGTTCTCTGAGTCATGGTGCATCCTGGGGTTCCGGTGAGAAGACGGAGCTGTGAACTTCGGGTTGCCCGAGCATCTCTGCTTTTTGTATAGAGCCAGTTACGGCCCTGGAGTGATACAGCGAAGAAATGGGACCTTAGTCAATCCAGGGAACTCTCCTGAACCCTAAACCCTAAACCCTAAACCCTAAACCCTAAACCCTAAACCCTAAACCCCAAACCCCAAACCCCAAACCCTAAACCCTAAACCCCAAACCCTAAACCCTAAACCCTAAACCCTAAACCTAAACGCTAAACCCTGAACCTCAAACCCGAAACCCTGAACCCTAAACCCTTCGATGGAGGTGCTGAAGAGGCACCGGGAGACCATCCTGGAGGGGGATATCGACTTCCAGTACAAGGTGGGGCGGGGCCTCCTGGAGGAGGTCTTGGGGGTTTAGGGTTTTAGGGTTTTAGGGTTTTAGGGTTTTAGGGTTTTAGGGTTTTAGGGTTTTAGGGTTTTAGGGTTTTAGGGTTTTAGGGTTGTAGGGTTTTAGGGTTTTAGGGTTCTGGGTTTAGGGTTTAGGGTGGCTCCTTAGGAATTACCTTGATTTCTAATTTGTAGAAAGCCCAAGGGAACACTGGAAGTTACTATTGCGTATTCAAGTTCTAGGGGGAGTCTGGGTCAGAGCTTGGGGCGTGCCGTACTGGAGGTCACTGGGACGGTCCAGGTTCCCAGGGATAATTTAGGGTTTAGGGTTTAGGGTTTAGGGTCCGAATAATGGTATTCCCTTATGGGCCCTATACTTACTTAGCCGGTAGCAAAACTTTTCTTTTTGGGTTACCTGATTTGCTAGCAACGCTATCATCTTTGTTGGATTCCTGATTTAGTAGGAATAAGAAAGTTTAGCATTTTCCTTGATTATTGGAGAAGTTGGACTTTGGTAACCCAATTGAAACCCTATTGGAACAATTCAGGGCACCCCCCCCCCCCCCCCCCCCCATATTCGTGCCTCTAATTTTTTTGCCTTCAACCTACAACGCGAGAGGCCTCGAGCTTTGAAAGCCAGAGCCTTCTATCTGAGGTTCCAGGAAACCCTCAACCCTGAACCCCACACCCTACACCCAATACCCAAGACCCTAGACCCTAAACCCTAAACCCTAAACCCTAAACCCTAAACCCTAAACCCTAAACCCTAAACCCTAAACCCTAAACCCTAAACCCTGCCGACGAACCACCTCTGCCAGGGCAACAATCTTCTTGAGCTGGCGGTTGCCAACATGCCTGCCGCAGAAGTCGAGGAGGTCGCAGCGACGTTTCTGAGTGGAGGCAGAGCGGTTCAGGGTTTCGGGTCTAGGGGGTCTAGGGGGTCTAGGGGGTTTAGGGTTTAGGGTTTAGGGTTTAGGGTTTAGGGTCGAGGGTTTAGGGTTTAGGGTTACGGTTTAGGGTTTTTCGGTTCAGGGTTCAGGTCTTGGGGTTTAGGGCCTAGGCCTTCAGGACTAAATATCCAAAGGAAGAAGGGGTTGACATGGTCCAGATGCCATAATAGGGATTAGAATGGCATGGGGCATGGGGTATGACACAAAAACACAAACGCCCCTTGTTTCCCTCTCCACCTGATCTACCGTCTCTGCCCTCTCTACCCTATCCGCCCTATCTACCCCCATATACCCTCCATGGGAGATTGGGCTTCGGAGGCTAAGATCCAGCTGCGTTTTCTGTTGCAGGCGCCGATGTCAACAGTCCATCGAAAGACGGCTACACGCCGCTGCTCTCCGCTTGCAGCCGCGGTTTGGCAAAGGCAAGCTAAAACACTTGGGGCAGTCAACCCCACAAACACCCCTAAACCCTAAACCCTGAACCCTAAACCCTAAACCTTAAACCCTGGACCCTAAGCCCTAAGCCCTAAGCCCTAAGCCCTAAGCCCTAAGCCCTAAGCCCTAAACCCTAAACCCTAAACCCTAAACCCTAAACCCTAAACCCCTAAACCCCTAAACCCCTAAACCCTAAACCCCCAACCCAGATGCAGAGCCCGTCGCACTTCTTCGCAGGTGGCGCACGTCCTCCTTCAGCGCGGTGCACGCAGGCCAGAGGAGGGGCAACTCATGGTGGATTTTGGGGAGCCAAACCCTAAACCCTAAACCCTAGACCCTAGACCCTAAACCCTAAACCCTAAACCCTAAACCCTAAACCCTAAACCCTAAACCCTAGACCCTAGACCCTAAACCCAAACCCAAAACCCTAAACCGGAAACCCTCAACTGTTAGGGTTCTAAAGGGTTTAAATTAGTTTTGAGAGAGCCCGGCTCAGATGCCAGCTGTTTTTCAGAGCTCGCAGCTCCCTAAACAAGGGTCCCTTTGAGGTGCGCCCAGTAGCAGGGTTTACGGTTTAGGGTTTAGGGTTTAGGGTTTCGGTAGATGCCCAAATGTCCCTCAGCTCTAAACCCCTCAAGGCTCCATATTTTGGAAGAAGGCTCGTGCCCCCGGTGACAGGTGCCATGCTCTGCCACAAGGCCGGAACCCTAAACCCCACCCTAGTCGAAGCTGTTCTGTATGAGGGGCTTGCAGGATTTCGGGGTTTGGTGACCTTCCAAGGGTTTAGGAATGTTATTCCGAGGGTTTTGGTTCCCTTGCAATATTAGGAAGGGTTTTAGGGTTTGGGGACGGGTGCCCGCAGATCTTAGCCGAATCTTAACCCTCGAAAAAAACCCTACTGGGCGTCCTACATTGTGGAGCCAGGAAGCGGGATGTCCCTTTTGAGGGCTTTGGGCTCTGGGTTAGCTGTTCTTTGGTGTCCTGGTGTTGGAAAAGGGGTCCGAGAGGTTTAGGGTCTCAGGGTTTAAGGTTTGGGTTTAGGGTTTAGGGTTCAGGGTTTTAGGGTTCGAAAAAGCTGCCGTCCCAAGTTGTCTTGACCCCTGTTCAAGGTATCAAGGTCAGGTGGCGTGACTGGCTTGAGAGCATTAAGAAACTCTAGCCTTGATCCTCAAACCTTTCATCCTGAACCCAGAGCGCCACAAAACCTGGTCCAAACCAAAACCCTGAACGACGCCTTAAACCGCCTCAACCCCGAAACCCCTAAACCCCTAAGCCCCTAAACCACAACCCCCAAACCCCTAAACCCCCAAACCCCCAAACCCCCAAACCCCTAAACCCCTAAACCCTGAACCCTAAACCCTAAACCCTAAACCCTAAACCCTAAACCCTAAACCCTAAACCCCCCCCCCCCCAACTTGGGATGCTGGGAGGCGGCACAGCTTTGGAGGAGGCGAAGAGCTGGAGTGTAGACATGCCCCAGATTCCGCCGTGCCACATTCCGGGATCCTAGGCTACCGGTTTATATAGGGTTTAGGGTTTAGGGGTCTAGGGGTTTAGGGGGTTTAGGGGGTTTAGGGTTTGGGGGTTAGGGTTTGGGGTTCGGGGTTTAGGGTTTCGGCCTCCTGAGAAGGCCCGACTGACCCAGGCTGTCTGGGACTCTTCGGTAGAAGGTAGTTCGGGCGGCGTTTGCTATGTGATCCCATCTCCGCAGACAGGGCTGCCGAGGTTTTGGGGTTCGTTTGGGAGTTTTGGGGCTTCAAGGCCCCTTGCTCGCAAACCAAAGCCGTACGCCCTGCAAGATCCCCTAAACCCCTTAAGCCTCCTAGGCCCTGAACAACCCCTAAATAAACCCTAAGACCCGAAGCAAGCAACAAATAAAACCCCTAAAACCCTGAACCCTTCTCCCCCCCCAAATTTCCCCCCTCAAGACCCCTTTCTTTGCGACGGCAGGCGCTGGCCTTCTTCAAGGCCTGCGAGGAGTACAGGGCCTATGAGCGAGAGGAGGACCTGGACCTGGGAAGACTGTGCTGCCACTTGCGTCGGGCGCTTTGAGGGGAGGGTTCAGCTGCAGTTGCAGGGGTTTAGGGGTTTAGGGGTTTAGGTTTTAGGGTTTAGGGTTTAGTGGGGTGTTTCAGGTAGCCCTAAACCCTGAGCCCCTCAACCCTGGGCCCTGAACCGTAAATCCTACCTAAGCCCTAAGCCCTAAGCCCTAAGCCCTAAGCCCTAAGCCCTAAGCCCTAAGCCCTAAGCCCTAAGCCCTAAGCCCTAAACCCTAAGCCCTAAGCCCTAAGCCCCAAACCCTAAACCCTAAACCCTAAATCCTCAAAACCATTTAAACCCTTCAAACCCTATAAACCCTTTAAACCCTTTAAACTCTTTAAACCCTTTAAACCCTTAAAACCCTTAAAACCCTTTAGACCCTTTAAACCCTTTAAACCCTTTAAACCCTAAACCCACCAGGGTTTGTGACGCTCGGTGGCCTTCGGGCCCCTGGGCTTCTGCAGATCACGGCTCAGGGCTTCAAGCTTGAGGGTTTAGGGTTTAGGGTTTAGGGTTTAGGGTTTAGGGTTTAGGGTTTAGGGGGTTAGTCCGGAACCCCCAACAACCCTAGGGATTCGGTTCTGGGCTTGCAGGGTGCCCCGAAGCCGGCAAGCCCTGAACTCAAAAGTCTAGAGCGCTGAACCCTCTAAGCCTAAACCCTGAAACCCTGAAACCCGAAACCCGAAACCCGAAACCCTAAACCCTAAACCCTAAACCCTAAACCCTAAACCCTAAACCCTAAACCTAAAACCCTAAACCCTAAACCCTAAAATCTAACGCCGCCCCTGCTGAGGGAGCCTGAGCATCGAGGCGGCACAGAAGAAAGGCCTCGGAATTTCGGATCCAGGGCCTGATAGGGCTGTTTTGCCCGAGTCTTTCGAGCTGGGTTGCTTTTTAGACCCTAAGCCCTAAGCCCTAAGCCCTAAGCCCTAAGCCCTAAGCCCTAAGCCCAAAGCCCTAAGCCCTAAGCCCTAAGCCCTAAGCCCTAAGCCCTAAGCCCTAAGCCCTAAGCCCTAAGCCCTAAGCCCTAAACCCCTTCAACCCTAAACCCAAACCCCAATCCCTGGTGCTTGTGGTGCTTGTGGGTGTGAGGGTGTGGAGGATGAGGTCTGCGAACTTGGTGCTGGCTGTCAACTGTGGTCTGTGGTCTGTTGAGGTTTCGGATTTAGGGTTCAGGGTTTAGGGTTTAGGGTCGAGAGTAGCAGATTGCGGTGTTTGTTGCGTCCTACAGCCCCAGGCCTTTGTGGTAATTCTGGCCTTTGTCTCAGCGTAGTTTGTGTGCTGAGCTTTCTCAACATAGCCCGAACAGACCACCAAAGTCCTACAGTTCCCCCAGGAGCCTCTAAGCCCTCGACCGAAACCCTAAGCTCTATGACGGCACCTACGTGTGGCAAGCCAGGGCCAACCCCAAAACCAAGACAATGTTGAAGCTAACCCATGAGCCCTCGAACCCTAAGCCGGTTAGGGCCGGTTAGGGTTTAGGGTTTAGGGTTTCGGGTAGAGGCCTGGAGCCCTTGGCGTCGGCGCGCCTTCAGCTGTCCCAGGCGGCAGTGGCCCTAAACCCTACACTCTAAACCCTAAACCCTCGACTCTCTCACCGGACCCAAACCTCTAACCATGAAAGCTTCATCCATGGAACCCGGCACCCTAAACCCTAAGCCCTCAGCCCTAAAGCCTAAATCTAACCCCTAAACCGTCCCAGGCGGCGGTGGCGCTGGCCCTGTTAGGCCCCACTGGCGACTCCGGAAGCAATCGAGACAAGTGGGTTTTGAGGGTTTTAAGGGTTTTTTGGGGTTTAGAGGTTAAGGTTCAGGGTTCAGGGTTCAGGGTTCAGGGTTCAGGGTTCAGGGTTCAGGGTTTCGGGTTTAGGGTTTAGGGTTTAGGGCTTCGGGCTTAGTTGCTTAATGGGTTGAGGGTTTAGGGTTTAGGGTCAAGGGTTTAGGGTCTTAGGTTTTTGGGGAAAGAAGGGTTCAGCGCCCAGGCAAGCCCCAAGCCGCCCAAGCCCCAAACCCCAAACCCCAAACCCCAAACCCCAAACCCAAAACCCCAAACCCCAAACCCCAAACCCCAAACCCCAAACCCCAAACCCTAAACCCTTCACCCTCCTAAACCCTAAACCCTAAACCCTAAACCCTAAACCCTAAACCCTAACCCCTAGTGCCTAAACCCTAGACCCTAGACCCTAGACCCTAGACCCTAAACCCTAAACCCTAAACCCTAAACCCCGAACCCTAAACCCTAAACCCTAAACCCTAAACCCTAAACCCTAAACCCTAAACCCTAAACCCTAAACCCTAAACCCTAAACCCTAAAACCCTAAACCCTAAACCCTAAATCCCTAAACAATCCTGCATGCTCTAAGCCTCAGGCATGGCTCTGACCCAGGAGCAGGTCTTGGCAGAGAGCGGCCTGGACCACAGCCGCCTGGCAGGAGTGTTGGTGGAGGGTTTAGGGTTTAGGGTTTAGGGTTTAGGGTTTAGGGTTTAGGGTTTAGGGTTTAGGGTTTAGGGTTTAGGGTTCAGCATCTCTGGTCCAAGCATTCATAGTTGAGCAGCTTTCAAGGCCACAGGGGAATACCCACCCGCCCATTGGGTCCCACACCATTAGGAAAAATATCCAACCTCCTTCTTCCCTATACGTTTTCGCTGGCAGTCCTTGCAGATTCCCTAGACATAAAACTCGAAAAATCATGTCACCGAGTTCGCACTCCCATATTTGAGCCTCGATGCGTGGAACATAAAGCTCGAAAAACTTCATCCCGGAGACATAAGACTTAAAAAAAAACTGTGAAAATCCTAAACCCTAGACATGAAACTCGAACCAAACTGTGAGAATCCTAAACCCTAGACGTAACACTCGAGAAAAAACTGTGAAAACCCTAAACCCTAGACATAAAACTCGAAAAATCATGTCATGTCACCGAGTTCGCACTCCCATTTTTGAGCCTCGATGCGTGCGACATAAAACTCGAAAAAACCATCAAAATCCTAAACCCTAGGCCTCGGAGCTGGAAGAATCCAGCCTAAAGCTCAAATCCAGCCTAAAGCTCGACCTAAAAAACTGTGAAAATCCTGAACCCTAGACCGAGGGCTCGGAACAAAAATAAACTGTGAACAACCTAAACCCTTGTTCTTGAGCTCGAAAAAGGAAGGAAACCTGAAAAAAATGAATCTTCCCCAACCCTCCCTCGAACATCAAAAAAAGCCAGTGAAAACCGCGAACCCTAGCCCGATTCGAAAGCTTGTGCCTATGTCCACGAAGGTTTGTGCCCAAATCCACGAAGGTTTGTGCCCATGTCCACGAAGGTTTGTGCCCATGTCCACGAAGGTTTGTGCCCAAATCCACGAAGGTTCGAACATTATAATGTTAATGGCCTTCGTGGATTTGGGCACAAACCTTCGCGGATTTGGGCACAAACCTTCGTGGATTTGGGCACAAAACCAGTGAAAAACCTGAACCCTAGGGCCAGGAAGCCAGTGAAAAACCTGAACCCTAGGGCCACGAAGCCAGTGAAAACCCCGAACCCTAGCCCGATTCCAGGTTTTTTGCCTATGTCCACGAAGGTTTGTGCCTATGTCCACGAAGGTTTGTGTTCATGTCCACGAAGGTTTGTGCCCAAATCCACGAAGGGGTTTAACATTTAAATATATATAGTAGGAGAGGTTTGGGGTCTAGGGTCTAGGGTTTAGGGTTCAGGGTTCGAAAGAGTTTGTGGGCTTCGGGTTTTGGAGGGTTTGGGGCTATAGCGAAGCCGCATTCCTAAATTTTGAACCCCAATCGTAGGCCGGAAGCAAAGCACACACCTCGAAATGACAGCGTAATTTGCACGGGTGCTGAAGCATGGGCCCTTCGGGTTCTTATATGGGGTAGATAGTGGGTATACAAGGGCGCCCATACAAAGGGGCCCATGTCTCCCCCCCAAGACAAAACCATCCTTAAGCAAACCCTAAGGAAAACCCACTCAGTCCTCCAACCTCTCACCCCAAAAGCCCAAAACCCTAACCCCTTAACCCCAAACCCTAAATCCTAAACCCCAAGCCCTAATTGGAGGTCTTGTGGATGCTCTGGGCCCCATCCTCAGCTGAGCCGAGTCACCCAGCCTGGGTGTAGGGTTTAGGGGTTGTTTGGGGTTCAGGGGGTTTAGGGTTTAGGGTTTAGGGTTTAGGGTTGAGGGTTGAGGGTTTTTGGGGTACAGGGGTTAGAAGTGGAAGGTTTAGGAGATTGAGGGGTTTAGGGGCTTTAGGGTCTTAGTTGACGCGAATCCTTCTGAAGGAGCCCAAAAGAGTCCCGCTACATTTTCAAAGCCAAGCTGTAGAAAAGGTCTGAAGGACCACGGTTTAGGGTTTAGGGTCTAGGGTTTAGGGTTGAGGGTTAGGCAGTTTAGGCCCCACAGAACAAAAGCACAAGGCCACACAGACTCCCGAATTTGCAAGAATCATCCAACCCTCAACCTCGAAAACACCCGACGACAACAAACCCTCGTCCACCCACTCAACCCTGAGCTCTTTCAGCTCGCCCGAAACCCTTGTATAACCCTAAACCCTAAACCCTTAGCCCTAAACCCTAAACCCTAAACCCTAAACCCTAAACCCTAAACCCTAAACCCTAAACCCTAAACCCTAAACCCTAAACCCTAAACCCTAAACCCTAAAACCTAAACCCTAAACCCTAGACCCTGCAGCCCAGGCCCGCAACTTTGGGCAGGATGGCCGTGGGCTTTCTTGACCTTCGATCTCGACATCCCAGAGGAGGCCGCGTGCCCCAGCTGCACAGAGTCTCAAAGGTTTAGGGTTTAGGGTTTCGGGTTTAGGGTTTAGGGTTTAGGGTTAGGGTTTGGGTTAGGTTTTTGGGTTGGGATGTTCCCCCTTGTACTAGCAGTCCTTAATAGGGATTATAATTGGTGGTACTATAATCCCGATTCAGGACTGTTAGTGTAAGGGGGAACATCCCAATTGGGAACTTAGATTGCAGAGCTCACAGCGTTTTAGGGTTCGGGGCTTAGGGACTATTATTGGGCTGGGGTTTCGGGGTCGGGGGCTAGGGGCAGTGTGTCTTTTTGGTTTAGGCTTTCGGGGATTTATGGCTTTTGGTGGTTTAGGGCTTGAAACTTCTGCGTTCTTGATATCGGTTGATGATTCGGGAGGAGACGTTGTGGCAAGAAGCCCTGAACCCTAAACCCTAAACCCTAAACCCTAAACCCTAAACCCTAAACCCTAAACCCTAAACCCTAAACCCTAAACCCTAAACCCTAAACCCTAAACCCTAAACCCTAAACCCTAAACCCTAGCTGTAGCAGCCATTCAGGTGGCCTGACAGTACATGCCATCATGGAGAGTGGCCCAACGAGTTCCTCAAGAGTCGCAAGAACTACTATTTGCTTACTGCTTAAGAACCCCCAAATTAAGGAAAACAGTCCCTATATTTCCCTTCTAAGGAAGAATATGCTTTGAATGTCGGTTCTTTTTTTTTTTTTTGGGGGGGGGGGGGGGGGTTCTTAAGCAAACATTCGAGAACATTTCGCTGCGGGAGCCCAAGGACTCCGTCGGTAGACTTTGCCAATGCCAGATCTCGCATTCTCTCCTTCAAGCTGAGTCTGGCGCTCAGCGTACGCGCTGGCTTTCGGTTTCTTCGGCTTCCGGGTCGTTTTCAGATGATCCTTCTCATGGTGACGAAATCTTGGCTGATTATTGATACGATGAACCCTAAACCCTAAACCCTAAAACCCTAAGCCCTAAACCCCACACCATAAACCCTAAACCCTATCTTTTTCTTCTGTGCGACATTCTTGCGGCAACTTGGGCTCCTGAGGCCAGGAGAAGAAGCCGTCGAGAGAGGGGAGCCGGAACCGTGGCCCTTTTGAGGCGCGGTGGCGGCTCTTGCTGTGACCACAGGGTCTAAGTCTCCGCTTATCCCCTAAACCCTAAACCCTAAACCCTAAACCCTAAACCCTAAACCCTAAACCCTAAACCCTAAACCCTAAACCCTAAACCCTAAACCCTAGTGGGCATGGGAGTCGGAGCTTGGACTGGGACTGGGACTGGGACTCGTCGTCATCGTCGTCGTACTAGTAGTAGGAGGAGAGGAGGGAGAGGGGCGGAGAGGGCGGAGGGAGAGGGGAGGGAGGAGCCAACCACCCCAAACCCTAAACCCTAAACCCTAAACCCTAAACCCTAAACCCTAAACCCTAAACCCTAAACCCTAAACCCTAAACCCTAAACCCTAAACCCTAAACCCTAAACCCTAAACCCTAAAATCGTCGAGGACTACTGGTCGGTGTACTCAGACTACATCTGCGAGTGTCCGCTTTGCATGCCTGAGCTTCTCAGCTCAAGGGCGCTCGGGTTCTGGGATTTCGGGGGTTTAGGGTTTAGGGTTTAGGGTTCATGAAGAACTTAAGGGCGCTCGGGTTCTGGGATTTTTGGGGGTTCATGAAGAAAGCCTAGACCCTAAACCCTGTAGGCTGGAGCTGTGAAGTTTGAGATTTTAGTAGAAAGAATTCGGACAAAACTGCCGAAAACCGAATCAGACAGAGTGGAAAGTACCGCTTTAGGCGCATTCTGGTTTAAGGTCTTTGGGGTTGGAGCCTTAAGTTGTTCTCGATCATTTTCGGGATCAGGGGTTCTTTCTGATTTCGTCTGTCTCTTGTTGGCGCAGATTATCTGCTGACGTCTTGCTTTGATTTTGCTTGTTTTGTTTGTTGGCTTTCGATGCCCGATGGTTTCTTTGATCAGCTTCTCTAAGTTTCGGCAGGCTCCGGGTTAGTGAAGTTTCGGGGTGGGTTTGCGGGTTGGGCTTACCTGCAGCCCGAGAGGCTCGCATTTTCTCTTCCTCCTGCTTTCTTTCGGGACGGACGCATAATTCTTTTCTACTGGGCATGGAGATTCGAAGATCGTGGGCCCAACGCGCCGGACACCCCTGTAGCTATTGTAAGCCCCAAACCCTAAACGCTAAACCGCACGAAGGACCGTTATTCACAAGAAGACGACAGTAAATTCCGAGGGTCGCGATGAAGTTGCTTTCCTGTGTTGGAGCTTCCGGAAAGGTGCTACCATGTGCTCCGCAGGTGTCGGGCAGGCGCTTTGTATGGTGAGCACCACAAAGTTGACACTTTTTGAGCGAGGATCCTTGGATCCCTGTGACTGTTGACACTTTTGACAGGAGCGGATGGCCAAAATCTGGTATTTCGCAAGATGAGGCGCCCCCAAGCTTGGCGACGCTCCCGGCGGGTACTCCCTCACAAGGAGGATTTAGGGCCCGTGTTCTTCTTCTTCTTCTTCTTCGGGGTTAGGGTCTAGGGTTTAGGGTTTTAGGGTTTAGGGTTTTACGGTTGAGGTTTCAGGATATAGAGTTTTAGGGCTCAGGGTTTGCCCTATAGGGTCGAGTGTGCGTTACGCCATCCCAAGCTACTTGCAGGTTCATGGGTACTAATAACCACAATAACAAGTCTACTTATGACCTACTTTGAGGACTTAGGGGGTGAAAATTGGGATTATAGTACCCTAAACCCTGAACCCTGAACCCTGAACCCTAAACCCTAAACCCTAACCCTAACCCCGAAACCCAAGTTATAATTGGGGGTATACGCACCCTGAACCTCCAAGCAGACTAGGTTGCACCAGTGCTTCGACGAGTACAACGAGGACCGGAAGCTCCGAAATCGGAAATGGACTCTTGGCAGCTTCAGCCTGTGGGAACTTAGGGTTTAGGGTTGGGTTTAGGGTTTAGGGCTACTGCAAGCTTTCAGGCCCTTAGGGCGACAAGGCTCCTGGTAGTGCAGGGGCTTTGGGGATGCGCCCATCCTGCAGACGCGGGGGTTCTTAAATGGGTCTCCTGAACACTGGGCCCCTAAGCCATAAGCCCTAAGCCCTAAACCCAAAACCCAAAACCCTAAACCCTAAACCCTAAACCCTAAACCCGAAACCCTAAACCCTAAACCCTAAAACCCTAAAACCCTAAGCCCTAAACTCCAAGCCCTAAACCCTGTATCCCAAACCCTCAAAGCGAGTCAGTGTGACCCCCAGGGAGAGACGTGATGGCCGCCGTCACCGGCGTGTGCCCGTTGCCTCCTTCGCCTCCCGGGGAGCCTCCTACTCGGCGAGGCGCAGGGAGCGGATGGGTTGGGGTTTAGGGTTTAGGGTTTGGGGTTTAGGGTTTAGGGTTTAGGGTTCAGGGTTTAGGGTGTAGGGTTTGGGGTACAGGCGTTTAGGGGTTTGGGGGTTTGGGGGTTTAGTGGTTTAGGGGGTTTAGGGATTTGGGGCTCAGGGTTCTTCAGGGTTTACAGTTTAGGTGTCTGGTTTTGGGGCTCAGAAAATGTGGTTTGATTGTTGTTGTGGATTGAGGCCCAAACCGCAAACCCCACAGCCTAAACCCCAAACCCTAAATGCCAAACCCCAAACCCCAAACCCTAAACCCTAAACCCTAAACCCCAAACCCCAAGCCCCAAACCCTAAACCCCAAACCCTAACCCTAAACCCTAAACCATAAGTTCAGGGTTTCGACCCGAAGCCTGGGCGAGGATGGCGCGGCGGATGCCGGCTGCCTACAGGCGGGCTCTTGGGGTTTCGGGTTTAGGGTTTAGGGTTAGGGCTTAGGGCTTAGGGTTTAGGGTTTAGGGTTTAGGGCTTAGGGTGTAAGGTTCAAGTTTGAGGGGTGCAAGCCCTTAGCATCCTAAACCCAAAACCCTCAGCCCTAAACTCTCAACCCTAAACCTCCAGCCCTATGCCCGAAGCCCTAAACTCTAAACCCTGAACACCGAACAAACCGGCCGCTCCGCGGATCTCTTCTGAGGTCATCTGAACCCGAAGAGCCACCTGAAACCCCTGAAATCCAGAACCAGAAGCTCAAGAACGAAAGGAAAGCCCCGGAAAAAAACCATGAGAAATCCGTGAAAACCCGTAGGCCCCGGGAAGTACCCTAAACCATCCTAAACCCCAAACCCAAAGGCCCCCTCATGAAGCCCCCTATGCCTTGCAATCAGGGTCTCTGGGCCCTTGCAAAAAGCCCTGAACCCCAAGCCGTGTGGCCACCCACTCGGCCCTGTGCTTTAGACCCTAAACCCTAAGCCCTAAGCCCTAAGCCCTAAACCCTAAGCCCTAAACCCTAAACCCTAAACCCTAAACCCTAAACCCTAAACCCTAAACCCTAAACCCGACGCAGGGGGCACCACGTGGAGCAGAGCCTGCAGGGAGGGCGCAAGAAGCTTCGGAAGTTCCAGCTCGTCCAGGCTTCCTGAGCGCAGGGAGCTGGGTTTAGGGTTTAGGGTTTAGGGTTTAGGGTTTAGGGTTTATGGTTTAGGGTTTAGGGTACGCAATCAGGGAATTAGGATGAAGCAGGTGCCCTTTATAGTCCCTGTAAGGGTCGTGAAAGGCGGGCATAGGTACCTTCCATATAGGCCGTAAAAAGCCCTGAGCCTAAGCCCTAGACACCAAACTGGCGAGAGCGTCGTTGTAATATGCCTTGACGCTGAAGCCTGCCGGACAGGGCTCATACAGAACTTGAGCATTTCGTGGGGACTTTGAGCTGAATGAGTTATTGAGCAAAACAACCGCGCAGTAGGCGAAGATGCACCACGAATCAAAACAGAGAAGACACACCAATAAGCAAAGCAGGCACACAGTAAGCGAAGGCGCAGTAAGCAAGCAACCGCACATAGTGACATAGTAAGCGAGACGTACCAATAAGCAAAACAACCGCAAGCGGAGATGCCGAAAAGGTGTAAAGGGCATGTTGTGGTTGCGTGCAATGAGAGAAGGGATGGCGGGGGGGGGGGGGGGCGTGCGGGGCTCGTGGCGGGCTGGGAGAGAGAAGTGGGTGGAGAGAAGTGCTTTACGCTTCGGGTGCCTCAACCCTATGAAAGCACGCACGAGACGTAATTACTAGTAATCCAGCCACCGTGAATCTATAGGCTAGCTGTCGTTGAAACCCTAAACCCTCAACCCTGGCTTCTTTTAAGGATGGGGATGCCAGAAGGATCATAAGGAGGCCCCTCTTGCTAGGGGGTTACCTCGTGAAGCTTCGAGTTTAGGCTTTAGGGTGCAGGGCCCACTTAGCTGCGCGAGCCTGCGACACCCCTTGAGGTGTGCCCTTAATTCGCAACCCCCGTGTGCATCCTCTGACACACGCATCCTGGACCCTAAGTCCCCACCTCGAAACTTAAACCCTAAGCCAAAAGCTCTGAACCCTGCACCCTGAAGCTTGAAAAACTCCAGGCATGAATCCAAAGCACGTTTTGCCAAGGAGCAGCTCCGGATGGATACTTGCCCGCTGTGAGCATGGGGGCCGTCCGCAGGGCAGACCCCCAAGAACCCAAAGTTCACAAAGTTTCGGTTAAAAAGTCGTGGCTTGTAGAAGAGCAGCATGCTTTTGTACAGTGTACAGACCTACGCCAGTTGAGTCTTTCGCTTCCTTATGCGGTGCCCAGAGCGGTATCCTGTGCTGAAGAAGAAGCTGTTTCTGACGTGTGTGTGTGTGTGCACCCTAAGCCCTAAAACCCTAAACCCGAAACCCTAAACCCTAAACCGCAAGCCCTAAGCTCTAAACCCTAAACCTAAGCCCAAAGCCCTCAACCCTAAATCCTACACCCCAAACCCCGTGCAACGCAGACTCCCTGGTACGGGCTCTCCTTTGGAAACCCTCATCCGCCCGGCGGGTACATAAGGCGTTTAGGGTTTTAAGGGTCTTTAGGTTTTTGAAGGCATGTTTAGCTCCAAAATGTAAAGACTTGAAGGGTTCGGGGAGTTTGGGGCTGCGCATTTTCGGGGGGGGGGGGGGGGGGGGGGTGGGTAGGGGCCTGGAACCCTCACCCCTATAAGTCCTAAACCCCAAATACCCAACCCTCAATCTTAACCCATACCCTAAATCCGAAACCCTAAACCCTTAAAGCTGTTACAGCCCCTCAAACCCTTAAAGCCCTTTAAACTTTCGAAGCCCCTTTAAGCCCTTAAAGCCCTTCAAAGGGTAAGCCCTGAGAACCCTTAAAGCCCTTGAAGCACTTCAATACCTAAACAAAACCTGCAAATCCCTCAAAACCCTTCGAACCCTTCAACCCCTCAACGCCCTTCACACCCTTGAAAACCTTAGAACCCCTTAAAGCCCCTTCAATCCCTTTAAACCCTTTAAGGCCTCAACACCCTTCACACCCTCGGAGCCCTTGAAACCCCTTACTACTATTTGCTTAAGAACCCCCCCCCACCCCAAAAATGTTTCCTATATTTCCCTTATTAGGAAAAATGTTCTTTTTTTGGGGGGGGGGGTTCTAAATGTTTCCTATATTTCCCTTATTAGGAAAATATTCTCTCATTTTTTGGGGGGTTCTTATGCAACTCGTAGCCTCACGCCGGAAGCCGCCCAAGCCTTGGCCCCCAGACCGCGGATTTTGACGAGAGCCTGCTGCTGGACTTGAACGCCGGCGAGGCAAGGCCCAGGGTTTAGGGTTTAGGGTTTAGGGTTTAGGTTTAGGGTTTCGGGGTTTCGGGGTTAGGGTTTAGGGCTTTTGGGGCACACACACGGAGTTCAGGGTTTGGGCGTTATGCAATGGCAAGTCAAGCGAGTGAGCTCAGCGCTGCTGGCGAGAATGTTTATAGCTCACTTCCAAGCCGGCCTGCCGACAGAAGCGGAACCTCACAAGAGTCTGCACTTGATGCACGAAACCCATCACACAGAGCCCGCACACCATGAAGAGGAAAAATCACATGAGGAGACAACCACTGTGCCCAGGTCATGCCGAGGGTCACGGGATGACCCCCACAAAGGCCAACAAAACCTGACAAAGGGTCATCTGCACGGTGCTCTTGTTCACGTTGGTCTGGACTGTTCAGCAGACCATTGCACAAACACGGGACGCCCTCAACAACAACATGTGTTTGAGATACGGCCGTCAATACCCACATTGGAAACAGCATCAACAACAATCTTCGGCACATGCGCAACTGCGAAACAGCAATCCCCGGCCCTTCGTCCCGAGACGAATGCATGCAAGTGTGGGTCATCCAACAGTGCCCCTAGGAACGACTGGGGAAGCACTGCAATGGACAATGACACTTGTCTTGGCATAGCACAAGCAGCCTGCAAGACCATTTGCATGCCCAAGTCTGGCGGCAGAACTGGATCAATCAACTTCCCAAGAAGAGCTCCATCAAGTGTCGCAGTAGGTTGAAAATGACTCACCTTCTGGCCTGTTCCATATGCGAGACCCTAAACCCTAAACCCTAAACCCTAAACCCTAAACCCTAAACCCTAAACCCTAAACCCTAAACCCTAAACCCTAAACCCTAAACCCTAAACCCTAAACCCTAAACGAGAGGCGGGTTCATGGCTCGAGTGGCAGCCGCTCCAAGTCAAAACACAGAACCCAACAAGAACCAACAACCAAGACCACGCCCCGAAGGAAGTAGAGGAAGCCCCAAAGGCAAGACTTGTTAATGTGAATTCATATGGGTGGTTATCAAAATTATGGTCCCTTTTTGGATCCCTATTCAAAATGCGGCACCTAGTATTTAGGGCACAACAAAACGGATCATACATAATTTTGACAACCACCCATATGAAGCAGGGTTTCTATTACTGTTCTTGGTGAGTGTATATAAGGTTCCTTGTTATTGTTGGTAAGGATATGTACTTGGTGTCCTTTTGGGGATACGAGTAACAGACACATTTTTTGTGATCTGTTAGTACTACTACTATATTTTATCTTTGCTTTAACTACATTTCTTCATGATGGTACCAGTCACATGAAACATAGATAATTGCAATAATGTGAACATGAGCACACAAGTACATGTCATATTTAAACTGCTATTCTTATTGTGATTGTATTCATGATAATAGCAGTTACATGAAATATAGACTGTAGCAGAAATGTAAACCCTCACTGGGACCACTTTGGCCTTGCGAGTGAGACCAAGCAGTTCCCGCCGAACCTGGGAGGTTTGGGGGTTTAGGGTTTAGGGTTTAGGGTGTAGGGTTTAGGGTTTAGGGTTTTGGTTTAGGGTTTAGGGGTGTAGGGTTTTGGGGGCAAGGTTTAGGGCTTCTGAGCCCTAAAGCCCTACCCCCCCTACCAGAGAATGGGGTGGGCAGTGCTCACGAAGCCATACAACTTGCTTAAGGTGCAGGTTGCTGTTCTGGGCTTTCAGGGTCTGCAAGCTTCAGCGGACAGGGTTGGGAGCGTGTTGGGGTGCTAGGGTTTGAGGGTTTCAAGGGTCTCAGGAGGCTGTTAGGCTTGCGTTGTAGGGATTTCGGGTTCAGGGTTAAACCCTAGAAGCTCTACAAGCCCTGTCAGCCCTATAAACTCCTATAATACCCTAGAAGCCCCTACAAACCCCTATAAACCCCATAAACTCCCATAACCCCGATAAACCCCTATAGACCCCCATAAACCCCCTATAAACCCCTAGAAACCCCCATGAAACCCCCATCAACCCCCTAGAAGCCCCCCCTGTAAACCTGTTTCATGCCCTATGAACCCTACAAGCCCTGTAAACCCTAAACCCTGAATCCTAAACCCTAAACCCTAAACCCTAAACCCTAAACCCTAAACCCTAAACCCTAAACCCTAAACCCTAAACCCTAAACCCTAAACCCTACAAACCCTATAAACCCGGCCCTATAAGCCCTATAAACCCTATTTACCTCAAAACGCCGCAGAAAGCCTGCCCAGAGGAGATTGGGCAGCTGAGCGCGCCTTCCCTTGCCCAGGAGGATGGCTCGGGGCGCTTTGGCGTGGCACCTCGACCCGTCGAATGTAGGGTTCAGGGTGTAGGATTTAGGGTTTCGGGTTTAGGGTTTAGGGTTTCGGGTTTAGGGGTTTAGGGGTTTAGGGGTTTAGGGTTTCGGGTTTCGGGTTTCGGGTTTCGGGTTTTAGGATTTAGGGGGGGATGGGGACCGCTTAAATACCCCATACAACCCAAGGGCCCTTACTTCAGAACCCTGTAAAAGGAGGTAAGGAAGCATGTCCAACTCCGTCCACCTTCTAAGACACGCTACACGCTAATCCCTCACATCCTAGTTGAGGTTTCGGGTCTTGCGACGCAAACCTAAAACCCTTAAACCCCTAAACCTCTAGAAGCCCCTAAGCCCCTGGGCCCCGAAGCCCCTAGACCCCTAAGCCCCGAAGTAAGCCTCAAGCCCCTAAGCCCCTAAGCCCCTCAAACCCCGAAGACCCTAAACCCCCCAAAACCCCCTAAAGCCCCTGAACCCCCAAAACCCCTAAGCCCCTAAGGCCCTCAACCCTTAGGCCCTGAAGCCCCTAAACCCCCCTAAACCCCCCCCAAAACCCCCTAAAGCCTCTAAGCCCCCCCAAAACCCCCTAAGCCCCTAACTCGCAACCTCAGGCCACGAGCGGCCTCGGCCTGCAGATCGATGCCGCGGAGGACACCGGGGGGGGGGGGGGGGATCACAAAACAAGAAAGGCATCGACCCAGTGAGGGGTCTTTTGCTCGAGCCTTTCGGGCGGCTTTAGGGTTTAGGGTTTAGGGTTTAGGGTTTCGGGTTTAGGGTTTAGGGTTTAGGGGTTAGGGGTTTAGGGTTTAGGGTTTCAGCCCTGCAGAAAGACGACGCTGGATGCCGGCAAACCCCAGGTTTTAGGCTGCAGGGTTTAGGGTTTAGGGTTTGGGGTTTACGGTTTGGGGTGTAGGGTTTAGGGTTTGAAGTGGACCCTTCCTCGTACACCCTTCATCCTCAGGCCCCAAGCCCGAAGCCCGGGAGCCCCCCCCACACCCACGCAGATGAGAAGCCCGGGAGCCCATCACCAATATTCGCGCCCTTAGAACCTCTACTCCTCTGGTCGCCTGACAAAAAATTGCCGTTCTGACTCTAAACCCTAAATCCTGGATGAACCCCAAGCCCTAAACCCTGACTGCTACACCCTCAACGCCAAACCCTAAACCCTAAACCCCTAAACCCTAAACCCTAAACCCTAAACCCTGAACCCTGAACCCTGAACCCTGAACCCTGAACCCTAAACCCTCAACCCTAAACCCTAAAACCTTTTTGGTCCCTGTAGGACGAGGCATCTTCTCTGGGCAAAGGCGCGGTCCAGGCGCGGGCGGTCAGGTCTTCTGAGGCTTCTTCAGGGTGCCCTTTGGGGGTTTAGGGTTTAGGGTTTAGGATTTAGGGTTTAGGGTTTAAGCTCTAAGACCCTGGAACCTGTGAGGTGGCCGAGCAATCTGCTAATTTAACACCGTTGAGGATACAGTCGGTTGTCCTTGCCCTCAACCCTAAACCCTAAATCCTAAACCCTAAACATCCAAACTCGAAACTGTTAGCTAGAACCC